ATCATTTCACACCTCCAGGTAGGCTGGTTAATTTGCCAGCAAGCCATTCACACTTTGTCACTGCCCAGACTGAAGAAAACCTGAGAACCATCACCCCTCTGGTGTCTGAGAAACGTCCCCAGAAAAGAAATCCGTAGGCAGGGAACAAATGGTCACTTTCAGTGTGGATTTAGCAGATGTTTTATAGAGATGTAAGTGAGCCTTATATATTATGTGGGTCTTAACATAAACTTGTAAGCAAACTGTTGACCCCTATATGCATCACATCACATCTTTTCTTTCCATGCACTCATACCACAGAAGCCATCCTGATCATATTAACACTGTAATTATTTTATCTTTGGAATTTGTAAGTCACCTTTGGTTAAGGGCATCTGCTAAACAAACAACAATCAACACAGAAGGGGTTAATCATTGTACTACAGCTGATTTCTCTTGACATATCTGTTATTACAATAAGAAAAGAAAACACTAATTCCAGAACACATCCAGAAGATAATACATTAGGGTGTGTGCTCATGTGAGCTGCTGTAAAAAAGCAAGCCTTTTGTGTCACTAAAGTAAATGCTTAGTAAATCCAGTATCTCTATAAGGTGTTCTCCCATCTAACAGAGGTGGTCATACACTTAACACCATCTAGAAAGTAGCTGTGGATTATTTATAATTTAAAGATTAAGGAATGAATGTGGAGACAGAGTGTCTGCGATTTTAAACATTGTGTGGATTGTATTGCTCTTGGACAATTGCAGACCTTGTATTCCCTCCTGATGTGTATATTCTGTGCTACACAAAGCATGATTTAAAATATTAGAGATTGATTTCTGAACCTGCTAAAAGTAAGAGTCATCCAAAACTTTAGGAACAAGGTGCCTCTTTGAAGCTTGATCTAGGCCTTTTTGAGTTTGAACACTGCTATTATGTTGTCTTTCTAAACCTTGTTAAACCTGCAGGTTTATCCAAAGTAAGGGCTTTGAGATGCTCAATTACATCATTTTTACCGCTTGGTTAACCAGCAGAGCTGCTTTTACAGAAACTCTTAGGGAGTGACTGAGAGAGTGCTCAGAAATACAAAACAGACTGAGGGACCAGATTTTAAAAGAGCCGTGAAAATAAGAAGACTGAAAACAGAAGTGACAAACAGGATTCACAAATAATTGCACTATTGCAAATCCCTGGACATCCAGTCCCTTTCAGAAGTATCCAGCCCCTTGCTCAGTTTTCACATTTTGTTGTTGTAAAGCTTGCAGTCATCACATTTTAAAGCAGCAATTATTATTTGATATATACATTACCACACATTCAAAGAAAAAAAAACACAAAAAGAAAAAAGTAAATAATATGAAAGAAAAATGTAAAAAGTAAACCTAAATTAGGCGCACAAAATGACCTAAATGAGTCATACAATTTGTTGAGTAGCTTCTGTCTGTGTACAACAATAGTAGGCCACATGACTGCAAAATAAATATACTTCTATCATCTCTGTACGCTCCCTCAGTACTTAATCTCAAGCTGAGATTCAACCTTGTAGACTAAGGAGCTGTACAAAAGCACATATTTGGAGAAGTGTTTAAAAACATTTCAAAGACCATTAATATCCCTTTATGCATGGTGAGATTGATGATTAGTAGCAAAATACACTCAGACACTGCCTAGATCAGGGTATGCCACCACAGTGAGCAAAGGAGGAAATTGGTTAGTGTGGCCAATGGTGACTTTAAAAGGGTTACAGAGTTCAGTGGCTGAGATGGGAGAAAACATTGATGAGTCAACATTATCCCGGTCATTCCACAAAGGGGGTTTACTTGGAAATGAAAAGAATCTGTAGTGCCACATGGAATTTGCAACAAAGCACCTTACTGATACAGCAGATATATGACAAATGGTCTTGTGGTCAGTCAAGGCATCTACCATCATGATCTTTTTAATCTTGATACACACTGTAGCATTACATCAAAACAAACAGTGCTTCACTCAGTCATTACCATCCCTACTGTCAAGCATTGACAATAAGCAGTGGCAACAACATATAGTTTTGCTTCTCATCAGTAGGGACTGGTATGTTTGTCAAGACTGTTGGGAACATAGATGGAGCAAAGTACTGGCAAAACGTAGAGGATTACCTGCTTAAGACCTAAAATTGGGACAATAAATCACCTTTCAGAAGCATAATGACTCAAGTGAGTATTATTGAGTAGCCAAGACAAAGTTCTGCCTTAAGTCCCATAGGAAATCTGTGGAAAAACTTTGGATACTAAGAGATTGCCAAGCAACTTAAGACATTTAAGCAAATCTGTCTAGAAAAATTAACATTTCAGTTTTCTCTCTTTAGTTTCTGCTGACATATACTATAACCTAGCTTACCTTTACAAGTCTTCAGTTTGAACATAAAGTTCAAAAAAATTCTATGCATCATTTTGTAATTTCACAAAATAGGACATCATAGAAATGGTTTGAATACTTTTTCAAGGCACTGCAAAAGTGAGAACATGAGGCATTTCTTCACACAAACAATTGTGGGAGTCTGGAACAAGTTTTTCAACCATGTAGTTAAAGGTGGTATCCTCAACTCTCCACAAGAAACAGCTGGATCGGATCTTTTGTAAGACACTGTAAAACATGCCTTAGGCACTCAAAGGTTTGTGAATTTAGGTATAGGCAAGGGTCTGACCTTCAGTGCAGATTTACAGCATAAACAGGCAATTTCCTTTAAAAGACATGAATACTACAGTGCACTCAAAATATATTGAGAAACAATTTATTGATCAACTATATATGACAAATATATAAATTGTCAAAGTTATTTGTCAAAGCAAATATAGATTTCCTGCCTGACCCAGATTGACACTCTTCAGAAAATCTACACCTGCACTTAGCCCTTATTTCAGGTAAAGGAAGTTGCATCCAGTAGCAAACATGTACATGAAACTCATATCATATGCAAACATTCCCTACTTGACTGGTAAGGTGAGTTTAGGTATTTTTCCAGACACTGACTGGAGCAGGGTGAAAAGAGTGCTCCAAGACGCTGACTCAAAGGTGACTGGTATCTTCAGATCTGTAAAGTGCACTGCTATCCTAAGATAAGAAAGGTCTCAGATTGTACATGCCAGGCAGTATGTTCTTGAAAATACATGGAGAAAGCTTGGGAGCATTAGATGAACCTCTCTGAGCACTTCTCCAAACACACATGAATTTGCATCTCGAAACAAAAACATGCTTCACTCCTACACTGATTTTTCCCATCTCCATTTTCTGTTAAACGGACAATTAAAT